CTCTTAAATACAGAGAACAAACTGAAGGTTGATGGGGGGGAGGGGGAAATGGGTGATGGACGTTGAAGAGGGCACTTGTTGGGATGAGCAGTGTGTCGTATGTAAGCGATGAATCACAGGAATCTACCCCCACTTGACAATACACTGTATGTTCGCCAACTTGACAATAAATCATATTTTAAAAATAATAATAATAAATAAAGTTATAAGAAAAACGCCAAACTTTTAAACAGTTATTTAAAATTTTCAATGTAATTCAAGATATACAATGAAATAAACTATAAAATACCGACCTGGTCGTGGGTTTTATCCTTTATAACTTCAATATCTAAGACAGACAGATGCATTTGACACAGGAAATCAACAATGATACAAACACTGAACAAAAAGTATCATCTCAAGACATAAGTATATATTAAGATTGAAGGCAAACCAGAGTACTCATTTATGTATACTTAGATATATCGCCTCCTCAGAAGTGTATGTGTAAGGAACATTTTAGTCTTTTTGTTTCTTTTTATTATTCTGAACGGTTAAGAGTTTAAACTCTGGAGTCATACAGACTTGGGGCAGACACCAGCTACAATCTGTGAGACCTTGGGCAAGTGAGTAAACCCTCTGTTTCCTCACAGGATAGTAATAATTAGTAACTAGTGGGGATGGTAAATGATGGTAATGGTATTCCTTGAATTACCCAAAATAATGTCATTATATAGGCCTCTCTTTTCCCTCATATACAGTGTTTGAAAAAAAATTTTTTTACCATGAATCCTAGTAACCTCCAAACAATAACCTGTCAAATCCCTTCTTCAACTTAGTCCCTCTTTATTCTATTTATATCTTTGCCAAAATAGTAGACTACGGGCTAGGTGGAACAACATTTCAAGTAGAGACATCCTTCTGAACGAAGAACTTTCCTTTTAATATTTACTAAAAATATATCATGTCCAGAAAAATAATTGCTCATAATTACAGGTCACCTGGACACATTTTGCAGGGAAACATAAACGGTTCTGAATATCTCAGAGATGTGGATATGAGAAAGACAAAAATTTGGATCGCCATAGTCATATGGGATATTATGGGCTATCCCCCTAAAATTCGTATGTCGAAATCCTAACCCCCAGAACCTCAGAATGTGACTGTATTTGAAGACAAGGTCTTGAAAGAGGTACTTAAGGCAAAATGAGATCATTAGGGTGGGCCCTAATCCAGATGACTGGCATCCTTGTAAGAAGAGTAAATGTGGTCATAGACACATACAGAGAAGAGACAGTGTGAAGACACAGGAGGAGACGGCCACCTAAAAGTCAAGGAGAGAGACCTGGAACAGATTCTTCCCTCAGGCTCCTTAGAAGAAACCAACTCTGCTCACTCTTGATCTTGGACTTCTCACCTCTAGACCTGTAAGAAAAATAAACTTCTGTTATTTAAGCCATCCAGCCTGTGGTACCTTGTTGTGTAAGCCCTAGCAAACTAATAAAATTAGAAAGGAATACTAGAATGTAAGCTCCAGGAGGATAGGATTTTTCATCTTTTTTTGTTCATTGATGTATCCCAAGTACCTAGAGCGATGCCTAGCACATAATAGGTGCTCAACAAATATTTGCTAAATGAGCTTCTTAATAAATAAAGCAGAGTAATAAAAGCCTTCCTATAGATGCTCTATTAAATACCATCAATGTTTCAGTAATGCTTTTTATACTCCTAAGACCTGAGAACCTGGACTCTCGCTGCTCTTACCAGCTCTGTGGTTTAATTGGTCTGCTGCCACAGCCCAAATGTATAAAATCCTCTGGTGAAATTCTTGGTATGATTCAATTCCAGGAGTAATTTCCTAAAGAGAAGAGCTAATAAGATTAAAATGCTGCTGTAATACAATAAATGTGAATTAATCCACATAGACAAACAGATCAAACTTGTTAGTCCCATCCTGAGGAAAATGCCACAAACAGATGTAACTTGTTGGTATTGATGTTCCCTCCAAAGTATTTGGCTGGCTGATGCCACTAACGGCATCGAGAACGGCCTGGATTCACAATTTAAAGGAAAAAAATAAACAATGATTCTCCTGTTGTTATTAAAGCATGTCTTGAGTGGACACAGGAAAAAGACAGACTAAATTTCCTTCTGACTTATTCAATTACATGGCTTCATGGTGCATGTATTTCTTTAAACCAAATCCATGTCTTAATATCATCACTATCACCATCAATCAATACTTAATTTGGTTCCCTAAATATGCTAGGGAAATAAGAGCAAAATAAAACATAAAAGAATCATGGAAACATGATTTTAACTTACATGCAAATATCCTTTAAGCAACTGCTAGAGCAAAAAATTCACCGAAATTATAATAGTTCTGTTAGAGGTGATAAGATTGTAGATAACTCTCTCTTCCAATTATTTTTAATTTTATGTAAGTTCTTATAAGCCATTTTTACAACATAAAGTTCTCAAAAACCATTCTAACTTCTAATCATTACTGGAAGAAAATTTAGCATTAAAAATTCTCCCAAAGGAAGAGGATGATATTTATTTTTAAAGTATATTTAATTAATACATTTTTACAGGAATACACGTGAGAAAACCAGAATCCACCAGTTTCATGGGCAAGCAAAATTTGGCATTTTAAAAATCAAGATCTGGAAATATCATCCTGAAAGCAATTTAGAAATCAAGTCAAAGCTTGTTCTTGGTCTGGGGCCTGGAATGAGTTCCCTGAACTGATGCAATCTGAAACCCTAGCCAACAAGTGTTTATCAAAGTCTTTGTCCCAAAGGGAGAAGTCTCTTTTCTAATTCTCCAGGAGTCATGCTGTTGGGATTGCTTTGAGACTTGAGCAAAGAGAGCAAGTAGGAGTAGAAAACATCCAAATCATTTGGAAACATTTTCTTTTCCAGCAAAATGAAAGCTGGTTTTTCATGATATGCAGTTTGTAATCAAGCCCTCCTTTACTGAAGCGATTCGTCAGCTACTGGTGCGTTTGCTCCTTTTTCCTGGGAACCACATCATAAACAGGAAGTACATGCCTCTGGGGCTTATTCATTGCAGAATGGAAAAAATGAAGCTGTGGATTTTCTCAAGGATGATTTAGAGAGGACGGATCATTAATTACTGTACTCCCCTCCTTATCTTCACCAGGAGCCTTATAAACCAAACGACTGCACAAGCTGTGCTCCACACCCAGGAAAATACAAAGAGTTCTTTGCCCATATGTGACCGGAAGTCAACTTTACAGCTCTGCATCAGGCTTTGATCACATACTGGCAAAGAGGATCAGCCCCTGTCTTAACAACCTGTTAGAACCCTGCCTGCTTCACCTTCCATCCTGACAGCCACAAGCCTCCAGACCTAAGATCAGAAAGTCTACCATTTCGTATTAACCAAATACCACAAGCGTTGGGTATGAAGCAACCCAATACTGAGCAGACTAAAAAGAAGAAAAATGTACTCCTCACAAGGGACATCTTGGTGGTGATGGCATAGCTCTGGAACTTGGTTGCAGTGGTGGTTACACCAATCTAAGCACGGGATAGAAAGGCACAGAACTACACACACACACACACACACACACACACACACACACACACACACACACACCTTGTGCCACTGTCAATTTCCATACTCTGATACCTACCAGGTAAGTAAGGTGTAACCACTGGGGGAAAGTGGATAGAGAGAGTACACACAACCTCTCCGTACACTCCCTGCAACTTGTGATACCTGTTTATTTCAAAATAAAATGGCTTTTTTTTTTTAAATTTTTTTTTTCAATGTTTATTTTTGGGACAGAGAGAGACAGGCATGAGCAGGGGGAGGCAGAGAGGAGAACACAAATGGAGGCAGGCTCCAGGCTCTGAGCCGTCAGCCAGAAACCTTGTGAGAACTCACGGACAGATGGTCGTGACCTGGCTGAAGTCGGGGCGCTTAACCGACTGCGCCACCCAGGCGCCCCAAAATAAAATGGCTTTTAAAAGTGCACCTTCTTGTGCACATCGTTCTGATTCTTTGACTGTCTGGCATCGGAACCAAGTCGCGGGCTACAGCCCTGGTTTTTTGCAGTGGAAGGTTTCAGCCGCCATAACACAAAACGGGTTGGAACACCCCTGCAGCTGCTACCTGGGTTTCTTTCCTGACCTCAACCCTGCCTGACGCCGTCTCAAATTCAGGTCACACCTCAATGTCCCCTCTTTACGGAGAGGCCTTCCCTGCGCTCCCTAAACAAGCAGACGCCCTCTGCTATTCTCCGAGTACCTCGGTCCCTTCGCCGCATTCTTCGCTCGTGTAAAGAGCTGGTTAGTTTACTTGTTTGCGTCCGCCATAAACCTATAAGCTCCAAGAGCGCGGGCACCGCGTCTGCCGCTCGCCCACCCTACCCCACAACCACGAGCCCGCCGCTGGGCACGGGCCACGTGTTCTACAGCCTGTGGAATAAACGCACCTCCCTGAGATTCACTCCCTCCAGCTCCAGGGCGTCGCGTCGGTTCCTCCCCCTCGCACCTCGTCCTCTCCGCCAGGCCCCTCCGCCTCCTCGCCTCCACGCGGACCCCACCCGGCCAGGGAGGGCGCCATTTTCCTCTAACTCGTCTGCCCAGAGGGCTGCTCTCCCCCCGTTGGCCCCTTTTCCTCAGGCTCCCCCCAACTCAGCCCCCTCCCCAAAATCTCCAGCCACCGCCCCGCGCTCTGCGCCGCCCTCCCCTCCCTTCCGGTGCCGCCCCTGGGCCGGGACCCCAGCCTGCAGCCGGCGCGCCCCTCACACCACGCCCCTCAGTCCACGGACCGCGTGGGAGGCACCCACTCAGCCGCTGCGCGGGAGGGGAGGGAAGATGGGCGGGGCGCGGGGGCGTGGCCTCTTCCGTACTGAGCTTGGATTGGCCAGTCCCGCGGGGGCGGGATTGCAGCCTGGGTCTTGTCCCCGGGTCTCCGCCGGGCATTCTTCGCGGCTGCGGCTCCAGCTTCGGCGACGAGACGAGAACGGCGTCTGCGGCTCCGGCAGCATGTCTGAGAAGCGGCACACAGGGGATGCCGAAGCCCGGAGGCTCCCCGACTCCTTCAGGGGTGAGCCCCGCGCCGTCTCCGCCGCCCCCCGCCGCCCCCCCCCCAACCTTTCCCTCGCGAACGAGACCCAGCCTGGGAGTCCCAGGCTCGTCTCCGCCGCTTTAAGCCGTGCGACCGTTGCTTTAAGCTTCGGTGACGCTGAGAATAGCGAACCCTGCTTCGCGGGCTGGGCGTCAGGTTTAGGGATGTTAGGGTGCAGAGTGCACAGCGGCGTGCCTGGCACACAGAGGATGCACCCACTGCAGGGCACGTTTCCAATACCAAAGCCATAGCAGAGGCTCGAGTGCTCCAGCGGTTGCCAGATGCCTGGCCCTGTGCCAGCGCTTTGCGTTCATTATCTCGTGGCACGCATGCGGGCAAGGAAATGCTCAAGTGACTCGGGGCCAGCGAGTGGTGAAGCCGGGGCGCGAATCTGCACCCCACACTCAGGATCCCGCGTCTCCTGTCTCCCGACTCCCCTTTCCTTCCCACCCCTCGGAGGTCATCTCCTCCAGCCAGCCTTCGGCTAACCCCATGAGTGAGCCCCCCTTCTCCGGAGCTGGAAGGAACTCCTGCTCCCCCAGCCCCACCCCTGGCCAATTTCATATCAAGAAGCAAGACCGACCTGTGAGATTTTCCCCTAACCCCTCACGTATATTTGCTATATTTGCGAAGAAAAGAACGTCTCTTTTTGACATTCTTCCCCTCTCTTTCCAGCTTCACTTTCTGCCCTATCTTGCCCCCTCTTTACTCCAGTTGTCCTGGGGACCTCGCCTTTGCGGCTTTTGTTTCTCACAAGGAACTCATAAGTACCCCCACCCTACTGGGGCCTTCCCTGTCTTGAGTGGCTCAGTCTTGTTCCCCTGTGAAGGAACTAATACTCTTGAGAGGGGTGTCACCTTGAACCCTTATTGGCTAACTCCTTGGGGGTGGGGGTTCCAACAGAGGTGACAAACCTCCAGGGGTGCTGGTTCCCTCCCTGGAGCTGGCTCATAGCAATCCGAAGGAATTATTTCTAAGGATGGAATTTCAGGCCGGAAGACATGGTGAAAGACAGTTTAGGGGGCTGGGTGGGCTTTTCCAGCACCCCACAGAGAACACTGCAATGGACTTGACTTATTCTGATTATTTGTAAAGCCAGCCTTGTCAACCCATCTAATTTAAGTCCCATTTCCTCTGCCCGGTGATGCTTCCCAGGAGCATCAACAGAATTATCCCTCACTTTCCTCTGCTAAGCACCTCGGAGAGTTATCTTCCCAAATCAGTAGTGTAACAGGAAGGCTGTATTTGAAGAAACTGATACTCAAAGAGGTTGTTACTTCAGAGTCACATCGTTGATAAGTAATGGAGCCATCCATATTTAAAAAAATTTTTTTTTCAACGTTTATTTATTTTTGGGACAGAGAGAGACAGAGCATGAACCGGGGAGGGGCAGAGAGAGAGGGAGACACAGAATCAGAAACAGGCTCCAGGCTCTGAGCCATCAGCCCAGAGCCGGCGACGACCAGACAGCTGTGACCATGTTGCAGATTCGGCTGAGCGTCTAACCGGACATAGCCACCAGAAGCTCCCTTAGACCTATGTTTAAATCTGGAGTTTGACTCATGAATCCTGTTGTCCCCCTTTTCATAAGCTGGTTGTTCTTTTCCTGATGGAAATGGGTGGGATCCCTTCCTCTGTGCCCTGACACTTCGTGGGGAGCAAGGAACTGTAGAAAAGTTTTGTTTAGCAGTTTGGTGAAACTGCAGTGAGATATCTGTTTATAGAGGTTCTTTGGGAACACACGTGACTTTTATTTATACTTCATATCCCCCTTTTTTAGTTGTTTTTCATCGTCACAGACTAGTTTCCATTTCTAATTTCTTTTTCTTGGTTCTATGATTAACTTTTTTTTTTTTTTTAAGACAGAAATGTTTTTCGGAATCTAATGAAAACTCCTCAGAAAGTTATACATACCAAAAAAATTTTGCATAGTCTAGGTTGCCTCTTTAATATATATATATGTAAATATAAATACATATGTGCGTGTGTGTGTGTAAACACAGGTACAAAAGCCATTACTAGAATTTATTAAAAAGATTTGATTGAGTGCTTGCCATGTGTCAAACACAGCCTAAGTGCTTTACAAACATTATCTAATTGCAATCCTCTTAACGGCTCCACAAGGAAGACATTATCCACCATTTCACAGCAAGAAAACCGGGGCTCAGAGTAGGAAAATCACACATGTGTGTGATTCAGAGCTAGGTTTCAAACCTGGGCTCTGTGATTTCTCCAAACCATTTTCCCTATCCTAGAGCTACCTCCAAAATGTGTACCCAAACAGGAGCACCTGGGTGGCTCAGTCGGGTTAAGTGTCCCACTTCAGCTAAGGTCATGATCTCATGGCTGTGAGTTCAAGCCACACGTCGGGCTCTGTGCTGACAGCTCAGAGCCTGGAGCCTGCTTTGCATTCTGCGTCTCCCTCTCTCTCTGTCCCTCCTCCACTTGCTCTCTCTCTCTCCAAAAATAAACATTAAAAAAAATTTTAAATGTGTACCTGAACAGAGGACCTTGTCAAACACCAGTGCTTCACTAAAGGGGAGGGAGAACAAAGAAAGCCCAGAAGAACCTAGCTTCAATACAGACCTCTTGAATAAGACATCCCCAGAAGGCTGCTTCTGAAGGAAACAGTGGAATATAAAAGCCCAAACTCTATCCTGTTATGATTTTGCTAACAATTAGTCTTAGGAATGTAAATGGGACCAAACTCAGGGCAAGATTACTTTTTCTTAAAGCCAGTGCATTCACTTTGTAATGAAATAATGCAGGTGGATCACAAATGTATTATTATAATTGAGAGACCTGTCAACAGAATATATCCCTTTGGGAGAATGCCTGAACATAAGCAGAATCAAGGGACTTATTTGTTTATTTCAGTTGTTACAGCTGATCAGATTGGGGAGAACTTTGTAACTTCTTTAATAATTAAGCCAAGTTAAACCATCAATGGTCATAAATTAACTCAAACCAGTGACCAAGTCTACTAAAGCTGGCGTGTGTGTGTAGATACATGTATATATATTGGGTTGCCATGATAATACATTGTGAAGTGTGGAAAGAGAAAACGTAGAAATTATAGTCAATAGCAAAAAGGAAGTATGTGTCAATTCTCCTTCCCCCATTCTTTCTGAATCGTTGTCTGTCTTCCGGGGCTAGTAAAGAAACTTAAACCCCAAGCATTTGGCCTGCCGTTTCCGTAGATTAGCCTTTGAAGATGTGAGCGGTAAAGTATCTGTTGCAAAATATCACACAATAAAAATTATACCAACCTTGCCCAGTTGTGAATGCACTTATGGTAAGATGGCATAGTGTAGTGAAATGGGAGTGGAATTCAAAATTCAAGGATCTGAACTGAGCTCTCAATATCATCCCTTACTACCTGGGTCACCTTGGGCAAGTCTCAGCCTCCGGAGTCAATTCCTCATCTCTGTCTTGGGCATAATCTTACCACAGTAACTGTCTCCCAAGGTTTCAAGAATCAAATGAGAAAATTTAACAGTGACTGTTCAGAAAACCTGGTAATTATGCAGGAAGCTAAAATTTATAGACAAAGAGTGGTATGAAAGATGGTCCAAGAAGGCTTAGAGCTCTGATTTACCTGCCCAAATGTGGTCTGTTTCTCCTCCAGAGACAGAGTCCCCAGGCAGATTGTTAGCCTTGGTATTTTCTTTGGGGTGTGCAGGTCCCAGAAGGCAATTCACTTACTAAAAAGTTTATTCCTGTAAGCTGTATCAGTGTGATCTGAAAGTTGTGATAAAAATAACAGCTGCTATTTAGTGAGTACTGCCTGAGTGTCAAGCACTTTACGTTTGTTTTTATATGGGATGAGTGTTCTTTTCCCTCCTTTTTCTGGTGAGAAAAGTTAGTGGTAGAATTGGAATCTGACACCGAAATCCTGAACTCTTAGCCGCTGCTTAGCTTTTTGGCCTCAGTTGAGAATGGGGAACCTTATGATTTAGTTTCCTTATGCAACTCTTCCCCATTTTGTTTTTAAAGCTTTTTTTTTTTTTTCCAACGTTTATTTATTTTTGGGACAGAGAGAGACAGAGCATGAACGGGAGAGGGGCAGAGAGAGAGGGAGACTCAGAATCGGAAACAGGCTCCAGGCTCTGAGCCATCAGCCCAGAGCCTGACGCGGGGCTCGAACTCACGGACCGCAAGATCGTGACCTGGCTGAAGTCGGACGCTTAACCGACTGCGCCACCCAGGCGCCCCTTCCCCATTTTGTTTTTAACGTAAGCTCTATGCCCAGTGTGGAGCTTGAATTCATGACCCCAAGATCAAGAGTTTCAATGTTCTGCTGACTGAGCGAGCCAGGAGCCCCTGGTTTCTCACTCTGTAGTTAAAATGATGTTGCCCTCCAAAGACTTTTATGGGAAAAACTTAATTCTAGATGCTTTTAAGATGTCCAAGAAAAGGAGCTGGGAAAAACAACCAAAACAACAGCAGAAGTAGGAGCATTTTGTTCTCTTAATAGATCTCAGGACTAGTCTAAATGTAATTAACTTAATACCATTATGAAATTGTTTTTCTCTCCAGTTTTTCTGGAAATGACTGTTTTTATCTTGCCAGCTGTGGGCCATATTCAGGTCACACGTATTCACTCTGACAACTGCTTTGGGAGAGAGGATGGTCTACACTGTATTCTTGGGTCTTGTCTGCTGACGTGTAGATCAAGTTTGCCTCATGTAAAGGCTTTCCTTTCCCCCGAAGAAACAGCGGAATCCCTCAGCACATTCAGCAATTATTTACTTGACAAATGTTTTTTGAGTACCTGTTATGCTCTAGATGTCTATTGTATTAGCTCATTTACTCTTCACGATAACCCTCTGAGGAGGTACTCTTATTAGCTCTATTTTTAAGCAAGTAGACTGAAGTGCAGAGAAGTCCGATACTTTCACAAAATCACACAGCTAATAAGTGGCAAAGCCAGCTTTGAAGCCATCATGCTATACTGTTTTAAGAAGACCAAAATCTGT